TCCTTCCATCTTGCAGCCATCAAAATTTGTTCTGTTTCTACGAGTCTGTTTTCTGTTTTGTTTGTTTATTATTAGTTTTGTAGATTGCATATATAAGTGAAATCTTATGGTTTTTGTCTTTGTTTGACTTATTTCACTCTTCACAGTACCCTCTGTGTCTATTCTCATTGTTTCGGATGGCATGATTTCTTTTCTTTTCTTTTTTTTTTTTGAGTCACAGAGTGATATTCCATTGTATATATGCATCACTTTTTTATCCATTCATCCATTGATGGACACTAAGGTTGTTCCCATATCTTGGCTATTGTAAATAATGCTTCAATGAACATATGGATGCATATGTCGTTTCAAATTAGTGTCTTGGGTTTCTTTGGATAGATACACAGAAGTGGAATGGCTGGGTCCCATTTTTCTCTTGTTATGTTTTATTTTATTTTATTTTTTTTTGTTCAGGTAGAGTGGGAGGGAGAGAGAAGAAGAAGAGAAAGAGAGAGATAGAGAGAAACATTGATGTGAAAGGGACACATTGAGTGGCTGCCACCCGCACGACCAACCAGGGCCGGGGACAAACTGCAACCAAAGTGCATGCCCTTAGCGGGAACTGAACCTGGGTCTCTCGGGACCGCAGGCCGACACTCTAACCGCTGAGCCAAACCGGCCAGGGCTCTTCTTATGTTTTAAAGTCTGTTTTGTTTGGTATAAGGGATTGCTACCCCAGCTTTTTCATTTGTTTCCATTTTCATGAAATATCTTTTCCCATCCCTTTATTTTCAGTCTGTGTGTGTCTTTCCATCTGAATTGAGTCTCTTGTCAAATAGAATATGTAAGAGTCTTGTTTTCTTATCCATGTAGCCACCCTTTGTCTTTTGATTGTAACATTTAATCCATTTGCATTAAAAATTATTGTTGATAGGTGTGTAGTTACTGCCATTTTATCCATGTTTTTATCTTTTTAAAGAAGTCTCTGTCATTTTTTATAATACTAGTTTGGTAGTGATGAACTCCTTTAGATTTTTCTTATCTTTGAAGCTCTTGATCTGTCCTTTATTCTAAATGATGACTTTTCTGTGTATAATCGTGGTTGCCCGTCATACTGTTTTATTTATTTATTTATTTATTTATTTATTTATTTATTTATTTATTTATTTATTTATTTTGTGGTACGTGCCCCTAGTGGGAACCAAACCCGGGACTCTCTGGTCCGCAGGTCGATGCTCAACCGCTGAGCCAAACTGGCCAGGGCACTGTTTTCCATAGTGGCTGTACCATGTTGCATTCCCACCAACAATGTACAAGTTTTTCAATTTCTTCACATTCTCACCAATACTTGTTATTTCCTTCCTTCCTTCCTCCCTCCCTCTCTTCTTCCCTTCTTTTCTTTCTTTCTTTTTTTATTTTTGTAGTGGATATCCTAACAGGTGTGAGGTAGTATCTCATTGTGATTTTGATTTGCATTTTACTGATGATTAGTGATATTGAGTATCTTGTTGTGTACTTAATTATTAGTATATCTTCTTTGGAGAAATGTTTGTTCAAATCCCTTGTCCACTTTTGAATTGGGTTGCTTGTTTTTTATTGTTAAGTTTTAGTTGTCCTCTGTATATTCTGTATATTAATCCTCTATCAAATAAATTATTTGTATATATTCTCTCCCATTCTGTAGGTTGCCTTTTTACTCTGTTGATAGTGATGTTTTGATGTACAATAGTTTTTAATTTTCATGAAGTCCAATTCTATTTTTTCTTTGTTGTCGGTGTCTTTGGTATCATGTCCAATAAATCATTGCCAAATCCAGTGTCAGGAAGACTTTCACCTATATTTTCTTCTAGGAATTTTATAGACTTAAGTCTTACATTCTGGTCTTCAATATTTTGAATAAATTTTTATATATGGTATAATGTATGGGTCTGATTTATTTTGTTTCCATATATACATTAACTTTTACCAGAACCATTTGTTAAATTTAAAAGACTGTTTTTTTCCCATTAAATGGTCTTGGCACGCTTGTCAAAATCATGTGGTCATATATGTGAGGGTTTATTTCTGGGTTCTTTAGTTGTGATCTATATGGCTGACTGTATGCCAGTACCGCAGTTTTGATTCCTGTAATATATCCACCTTTAATGTTATAATTATTTCTCTTTGACACATATTCAAGTCTGTCCTGTCCTAACCCACAGCTCAGCCTCTTGAAAGTGTGTTTCACTTATTTCTACTCTCTTAACTCGAATTTAGGCTTCAGTGTTTTCCTCGCTTCTCACTGCGCCTCTGAAACTACTGTGCTGAGGTTACCAAAGGTCTCCAAAACCTCACTCCAGTGGATGCTTCACCTTGATAGTTGTGGCTATCCTTCTTCTTTTATTTTTAAATGTTTTTATTGGGTTTTTTTAGAGAAAGAGGAAGGAAGAGGGAGAGAGAAAGATCAATATAAGAGAGATACGTCGATTGGTTGACTCCCGTGGTCCCCCTACCAGGGACCAAACCCACAACCTGGGCATGTGCCCTGACCAGCAATTGAACTGGAAACCTTTTTGTGCACTGCATGACACTCAGCCAACTGAACCACACTGGCCAGGGCGATGGCCATACGTCTTGAAATAGGTTTTGTTTTTGTCTTTTCTCAAACTCCCTCTCTTTTTCTCTCTCTCATTCTGGGCTATCACACATTGTAAATTTATTGATTGATTCATTGATTGATTGATTGATACGTGCCCCTAGTAGGAACCGAACCCGGGACTCTCTGGTCCACAGGCCGATGCTCCGACTGCTGAGCTAAACCGGCCAGGGCCACATTGTAAATTTTTTATTTTAACCTCTCTTTTCTTTTGTACTGGTTTTACCAGCCCTCTGCTTACCCTCGGGTATACACTTTGTTTGACTTCATTTAGTTCAGACCAGCTGCTGCTTCCTACAGGGCGATTCCTCTGACTAGAGCTGTGTGACTTGTTGCTGCTCCCTTTTAGTAATAACAGTGTCATCCTGAGTTACCTACAGAAGTCAGTGACAATGCTGGTATACATTTTATTTAATTGACCTACTAAGTACTTCTATTGGTCCTCTTTGCTTTTCACTATAGGGTTTCCCTTATAAATTTTATTCATCTTCATAGTTTAGTTATCATTTTTAGGCAGATGACTACCAAAATTGTGTCTTGAACATGACTCTATTACTTTGTTGGCTGTTCTTTTCTGTTAGGTGAATTTTTATAGATTATTGTGTTAGATAAAATATTCGACCTGCAAATATTTAAATTAACAAGTGAGTTAATTCAAATATATTTAATCTTTTTCTGAAAAACAAATTTTATATCAACATTACTTTATTGACTTTAAAAAAATTTTTATGTTCAACATACATTTGAGAGAAGGCTTCAAAGAGGAGTTGATGATTGATATTCTTGAATGAAAAAAGTTTGGGAAATATTGAGTTAAGCACCCCTATGGAAAGAAAAAAATGAAAATATACTACACTGAACTAAATTATCATCGAAAGATGCTGTACTTTGTTTAGGGAAGAATATTTTAAACCTGAATTTCAGCAATAATTGCCATTACATGAGGCTTCCAGAGGATATCCAGTAGTATCTGCCTTTCCTCTGTGTCTTGTGAAAATGCTTATCTTATTTTTATTTTAAGAAGTGGAATGTATCCCATAACATTCTTAATAGCTAAGTGCACTTGAAGAAGAAAGCGCATATTAACTGAGCTGGTGCCCAACATTATTAGGAATCATTCAGCCAGTTGCTTCAATTTCCTTTTTTCCAGTTTGGGGCAAGATCTGGGAATATATTTTAGACAAAGACTTTTTTCTTATTTTTGTATTTTATATTGATAATAGAGCAAACTTAATTTTGTTGTGCTGGTATATCCAGCATCCAGTTTGGGTTGTAACAAAAGGCATATTATAAACCCAACACTTTGAACTCGGGGAATCGCTAGAGACTTTTAGCTGCCAGACAGACATTAAGCCCGGGCTCCCTACACCTTTCTCAGTAGCACAGAACAGGAACCCATACCATTGACACTCAACAGTTTTTCTTCTCATTCCTTCCCCTTGTTTTTGTTTTCTTTGCCTCTTGCTTCTTGAACTTTGAGTGCCACCAAGCCCGGTGTACTTGCAATGTTATTGTAACAATGTGGACAGTGACTTTGAGCCTCTCTACTTTGTTGGAAATTTGCTCAGTTCTAAAAGCATTTCACTTAGTAATTAAAGAAATAGATTTATTCATTCTTATAACAGATACATCTTTTTTTTTTTATCCTCACCTGAGGACATTTTTTTGTTCAGATAGAGTGGAAAGGGAGAGAGAGAGAGAGAGAGAGAGAGAGAGAGAGAGAGAAACATTGACGTGAAGGGGACACATCGAGTGGCTGCCTCCCGCACGACCCAATCAGGGCCGAGGACAAACTGCAACCGAGGTACGTGCCCTTAGTGGGAACCGAACCCAGTTCTCTCTGGGCTGCAGGCCGACGCTGTAACCGCTGAGCCAAACCAGCCAGGGTGATACATTCTTATTTTTAAGGTGAAAATCAAGTTACAGTAGTATAGAATTTGCAAGAACTTGCTTGAGGAATTTAATTTCTATGGCATAATTAAAACTAAAAGATCAATTTTATGACATTGGTGCTCCTTCTAGGTGTAAAAACAGTGATTATATTACATGTTATGTTGTCTCAAAGAGGTCTCATAAATATGATTTTGTATCAGACATTTTTCTTGGTTCACTGTCAAAGTTTGATGCACTTTGTATGTACTGATTGCCCTTAGAAATAATCAGTAATGTGTTCGATTGTGCAAATATTCTAAAAATATGAGTCACAATTGAAACCTACCACATCTTAAACATATAACAGCTCTACTGCATCTTCTGTAAATAATTTTAGATATAAAAATAACACAAATTTTTGTGGAATAAATTTTTTTTTTTGTATTTTGCTTAATAGTATTTCACATTTAGAATTTTATGTCTGTGTTAATCAAAATGTCCTTTCTCTAAACAGGAGAATTTACTCATCACCTCCCACCTGTGCAAGCCCCTATTCAAGTAAAGAAGAAAATGGCAAAGCATTGCTTTCTTTGTGGGAAGAAAACTGGCCTGGCTACTAGCTACGAATGCAGGCAGGTTGGCTAGCTGGAAAAGTTGATATGCTTTCTTTGTGGTGACCCAGCTTGGGGCACAATATAAAATGTTCTTTAAGGTGGTTATTCATAACATCATAAGCATAATGTTTATATAGCAGCCCTCAGTTTAACTCCTCCTAATTGGCTGAAGTAAAGAGCAAGTAGAGAGCTCATGGATTTCAAGACTCATGAGATCCTCCACTGCCCTTTAACTGAGGAGGTTTAAACCAACGAGAGTACGCTTTCTTTGTCTTATGATAAATGTACTTGTTTTTGTTTGAATATAGCTCGAAAGAACACCCTTCTCTAATACTCTATTTTAAACAACAAAAAGGACTAAATTTAAAGTTAATGTAGTATAAATTTTAACAATTATATGCTACACTTTTATTTCAAAACAGATGAATAATGTATTTACGAAAAATAATGAATTTCTTTTCACCCATCATTATTTCTTTCATTAGCATTGATTAATATGCTTCAAGGCTGGTGTCTGCCCTTAAGTTGAGCTAGATATTAAAAATAACTGATGCTTTATAGAGTATATTTTATTCAAATGAAAACAGCTTATCTTGTTGCTAGAAATATTAGTTAGGTTTTACATAATTTAATTTTTTTATTAGATGAATTTCTCAGAAATTCATAGTTCTCCTGTATTTAAATGGTGGACAGATTATCAGCTTTTGCAATTTTACTACTTCATAAAGGTCTATACCCCATTTTGTTCTGTATGGACTCTTTATCATAAACTCATTCGTAGACAGCTAGCTTGTTCTGTGGGGAGTGCTTGTCCTTGTTTACGAGAAGAAGGGAACTGCCAATAACGAGATTGCTCAAGAGAATCAAAGGACTCCTTTTGGACTACCTGGAGTCACACTCTGCTCTCCCAGAGATGAGCCTCTAATAAAAATGTGACTATTTATGTAAACTTTTTTGTGCTTTAGATGTGGAAACAACTTCTGTGCATCTCATCGCTATGCAGAAACTCATGGCTGCACCTATGATTACAAGAGTGCAGGGCGGAGATACTTACAGGAGGCAAATCCTGTGGTTAACGCACCAAAACTTCCAAAAATCTGATTCTTGCTCTGCACCTAACTGTTCTGCCCGAGGAATCGTATTACAATGACAGACAGAAGAAATATTGTTTAGACTGCATTAATTTTGTTCTACTCCGAAAGATTTGCCAAATAACAAAAAGCATACAGTGCATACTGTTGGAGAATGAGACTGCTACTGTTTTTGACATCTCTATTCTTTGGTGAATCAAAAGTTTTCAAAGTAGTTTTAAAAACTTTAAACTAAATGATTTAGCTTTGTTATTGCATGTCTTATGTTAAGTATTTTATGTATTTGATATTGCAATTTTACTAGACAAGTCTTCAAAAGATGCACTTTACAAAGTGACCACTGACTGTGTAACTATCTTTCATGTTGTACAGAAATGACCTGTCATGTAATAGCACTATTCAAATCGACTACTTTTTTGTGTGTGGGGGTGGGGTGGGTAGGGATTTTTAAAAGAAACAAAAATCCCATGTGTGAAAATTTATTCAGTTTACTAGCAAGTTCCTTTTTATTTCAAGCTACTTTTTATAAAAAAGAACATTTGCATTTCCAGTATGGTTTTAATGCATATAATTCTTCCATATTCCCATTGGCATTCAGATATGTATCCATTCTATAAAACACATCATGTAAATCATAGTATATATTTCTTTCTCTGGTCTGCGGGCCGACGCTCCAACCGCTGAGCCAAACCGGCCAGGGTATAGTATATATTTCTTAAAATACTACTTTTTGAATGATAGTTTTAAAATGGATGTCCCTCTTGTTGCCATTAAATACAAAACCCAACTTTACAATTTTTGAAAAACAAAATCTTACAGCTTGGTTTGTTTTTCTTATATGCTGAGTGCTATTACCAGAAGAAATTCAAATAAATATTCAATTTCATCATGAGTTTCATTATTTGATTATTTTAAATAATTTTATGAGTCATTTTTTGCTTAGTCTCTTTACCTTTATCATTCACCCTCCCCAAACCCTCCCCTCTGACAGCTGTCAGTCTGTTCCATGTATCCACGATTCTGTTTCTATTTTGTCAGTTTATTTTGTTCATTAGATTCCACATATAAGTGAGATCATATGGTATTTGTCGTTCTCTGACTGGCTTATTTCACTGAGCATAACACTCCTCAGGTCCATCCATGAAGTTGCAGAGGGTAAGATTTCCTTATTTTTTATGGTCAAATAGTATTGAATAGTAAATTCATGTACCACAGCTTTTTTATCCACTCCTCTACTGATGGACATTTGCATTGCTTCCAAATCTTGACTATTGTAAATAACACTGCAGTAAACATAGGGGTGCATATATTCTTTTGAATTAGTGTTTTCACTAATAATTCAGTTCCATTTTAATTTTTGAGTTACCTCTGAACTGTTTTCCACAGTAACTGCATCAATTTGCATTCCTGCCAACAGTGCACAAGGGTTCTCTTTTCTCCACATTCTCACCAACACTTGTTTGTTGATATTTGGATGATAGCCGTTCTGACAGGTGTGAGGTGATATCTCATTGTGGTTTTAACTTGCATTTGTCTGATGATTAGTGATGTTGAGCATCTTTTCATATGTCATTTGGCCATCTGTATGTCCTACTTGGAGAAGTGTCTATTCAGGTTCTCTGCCCATTTTTTAATTGGATTCTTTCTATTTTGGGTGTTGAGTGTTTGAGTTCTATTTTTTAATCCTCACCCAAGGATATTTTTCTGTTTATCTTCAGATAGAGTGGGAAGGATGGAGAGAGAGAGAGACATCTACGTGAGAAAGACACATCATCGACTGGTTGCCTCCTGCATGACCCCAAACGGCCCGGGACATACCTCAACCGAGGTTCATGCCCTTGACTGAAATTGAACCTGTGACATATTGGTCCCTGGGCCGACGCTCTAACCATTGAGCCAAACTGGCCAAGGCGAGTATATGAGTTCTTTATAAATTTTGGATATTTACCCTTTATTGGATGTATCAATGGCAAATATCTTCTTCCATTCAGTAGGTTGTCTGTTAATTTTGTTGATGGTTTATTTTGCTGCGCAAATACTTTTTAGTTTGATATAGTCCCATTTGTTTTTTGTTTGTTTGTTTGTTTCCCTTACCTGAGGAGATATATCAGAAAAAATATTAAGAGAAATCTCAGAAATTTTACTGCCTAGGAATTTTATGGTTTGAACCTAACATTTAAATCTTTAATTTATTTTGAGTTTATTCTTATATATAGTGTAAGAAGGTCATCTAGTGTTGGTTTTTTTTTTTTTTTTTGCATGTATTTATTTAAAATTTCCAACATACTTATTAAATAGAGTTGTATGTTTTTGCCTTCTTTGTCATAGATTAATGAGACATATAGTCGAGGGTTTATTTCTGGGCTCTCTGTTCTGTTCCGTTGATCTATATGTCTGTTTTTATGCTGGTATCATACTGTTTTGGTTACTATAACATTGTAGTATAGTTTGATATCAGGTAGTATGAAACCTCCAACTTTGTTCTCAAGATTGCTGTGGCTATTCAAGTCTTTTGTGGTTCCATATAAATATTTGGAGTATTTGTTCTAGGTCCATGAAAAACTTTATTGGTATTTTGATAGGGATTGCATTGAATCTCCAGGTTGCTTTGGGTAGTATGGACATTTTAGTGATGTTTATTCTTTCTATCCATGAGCATGGTATATGCTTACATTTATTTGTATCTTTTTCAGTTTGTTTCTTCATTGTCTCATAATTTTTTGAGTACACATCTTTTACCTTCTTGGTTAAATTTATTGTAGTTAGCCTTTTTTTTATTAAAAAATTTTAATGTTGACATTGCTGGTGTCCCCCTTCCCCCTCCCTTTGCCTGTCTCCACCTCCTTTTGCCTTCACCACACTATTGTCCCTGTCCATAAGGTATGCATATATGTTCTTTAGCTAATCCCTTCACCTTCTTTATCCAATTAAACCCACCCCCTATCTCTCAGGCACTGGCCAGTCTGTTCCATGTATCCATGCTTATAGTTCCATTTTGTTCATCGGCTTATTTTGTTCATTAGATTCCACATATTAGTGAGATTGTATGGTATTTGTCTTTCTCTGACTGGCTTATTATGCCTAGCATAATATTCTTCAAGTCCATTGACGCTGTTGCAAAGGGTAAGAGTTCCTTCTTTTTTACAGCCACATAGTATTTCACGGTGTAAATGTACCACAGCTTTTTTATTCACTCATCACCTGGGCCATTTCCAGACTTTAGCTATTGTAGATAATGCTGCTATGAACATAGAGGTGCATATATTATTTATAATTGGTGTTTTGGGATTCTTAGGATATATTCCTAGAAGTGGGATCACTGGGTGAAATGGAAGTTCCATTTTTAATTTTTTGAGGAAACTCCATACTATTTCCCATAGTGGCTGCACCAGTCTGCATTCCCACCAACAGTATACTAGGGTTCCCTTTTCTCCACATTCTCGCCAGCACTTATCCTTTGTTAATTTGTTGATGGCAGCCATTCTGACAGGCATGAGGTGATATCGCATGGTGGTTTTAATTTGCATCTCTCTGATGATTAGTGACATTGAGCATTTTTTCATATGTCTGTTGGCCATCTGTGTGTCCTCTTTGGAGAAGTGTCTGTTCAGGTCTTTGGCCCATTTTTTAGTTGGATTGTTTGTTTTCCTCTTGTTAAGTTGTATGAATTCTTTGTGTATTTTTTAAATTAACCCCTTATCAGATGTATCATTGGCAAATAATGTTCTCCCATACTGTGGGTTTCCTTTGCATTTTGAGGATGGTTATATTTTTATACACCAATAGTAAAGTATCAAAAGGGAAACTAAAAAAACAATCTCATTTACAATTGCATCAAAAAATAAATAGACATTGCCCTGGCTGGTGTGGCTTACTTGTTTGGGCATTGTACTGTGCACTGAAAGGTTGCTGCTTTGATTCCCAGTCAGGGCACATACCTGGGTTGCAGGCTCAATCCCTGGTAGGGTGCATGCAGGAGGCAACTGATTGATGTTGCTTTCACATCAGTGTTTCTCTCTCGTCCCCTTCCCCCTTTCTCTCTCTCTAAAAATAAATTAAAAATGTTTTTTAAAAAATCTTATTACTCTCTCAACAATAAAGATAAATTAAAAAAAAAACAGATACTCTTGCCCTGGCCAGTTTGGCTCAGCAGTTAGAGCATCGGCCTGTGGTCCAGAGAGACCCGGGTTCAGTTCTCGCTAATGGCACATACCTTGGTTGCAGTTTGTCTGTGACCCTGGTTGGGGTCGTGCAGGAGGCAGCCACTTGATGTGTCCCTTTCACATTGATGTTTATCTTCCTCCCTTCCTCCCTCCCACTGTATCTGAACAAAAATGGAAAAATGTCTCAGGTGAGGAAGGAAAGGAAAGGAAAGGAAAGGAAAGGAAGGGAAGGGGAGGGGAGGGGAGGGGAGGGGAGGGGAGGGGAGGGGAGGGGAGGGGAGGGGAGGGGGAGGGGAGGGGGAGTGGGAGAAAGAGAAAGAGAAGAGAAAGAAGAAAGAAAGAAAGAAAGAAAGAAAGAAAGAAAGAAAGAAAGAAAGAAAGAAAGAAAGAAAGAAAGAGAAAGGAAGAAAGAGAAAGAAAGACACTCTTATTCCAAAAATGGAAAAATGTCTCAGGTGAGGAAAGAAAGAAAGAAAGAAGAAAGAAAGAAAGAAGAAAGAAAGAAAGAAGAAAGAAAGAAAGAAGAAAGAAAGAAAAGAAAGAAAGAGGAAGAAAGAAGAAAGAGGAAGGAAGGAAGGAAGGAAGGAAGGAAGGAAGGAAGGAAGGAAGGAAGGAAGGAAGGAAGGAAGGGAGGGAAAGAAAGAAAGAAAGAAAGAAAGAAAGAAAGAAAGACACTCTTATTCCACATAGTACTGGAAGTTCTAGCCATAGTGACCAGACAAGAAGAAATAAAAGGTATCCATGTACAAAAGGAGGAAGTAAACTGTCATTATTTGCATATGACATGATATTGTATATAGAAAACCCTAAAGACTCCACCAAAAAACTACTAGATCTAATAAATGAATTTGAAAAATTTGCAGGATTCAAAATCAGTATCCAGAAATTGATGGCATTTCTATACACTAATAATGAACTACCAGAAACAGAAACTAAGAAAACAACCCCATTTACTATCACAACAAGAACAAAAATATGGTCCCTAGAAATAAGT